CTGCTGCACCTCTGGGGCAGGGATCGAACTTGCACTGAAGCGGCCATGGCTTGGTTTAGCTTCACAGTGCAGTGTTTCAACCCATTGCACCACCACAAGCTTTTCTTAAGCAGAAATCCTGTATATTACTTATCCCTGCAATCCCAGCTCTCAGCACAGTACAGTGGATTAGGCAGGCCCGCAATAAATAATGATTCAAAAATAAATCTGGAGCTTGGTTCCCTCCAACTTTAGTTTTGCATGTCATTTATAGGAGACAACTTTCCCCTGTGATAGTTCACAGCATTAAGGTGCCTGCAAGCTCAAGGTAAGATGTTACACAAAACTAGTCAAGTGATAAGTTTAATAGCCACTGGGAAAATAGAGAACTAAAAAGAAAAGTATATTCAAGCTGATGGTGAGCTCAAAGCCTCGAAAGAAAATGCCTTCTTGTCTCATGAAAGGGACTTTCATGACTATTCCCTAGAATTAGCACATTTTTATCACAGCACCCTACTCACCAGATTTTCTTCTCAGCCGATATGGAGCAGAACCATCTTTGGTGGCACAGAAGGCTTTGCTGTCTCCCTCTGGACTGTAACAGAAGCCTGGGTGATCTGTAGAGAGAAACAGGCATGTCTGTAAGAACAAGGTATTCGGTGAGTTCTCAAGGAACGTGGGTGTGGCTGGTTGTGGATATCCATGGATTTGTTCTTTTCCATTGGCTGTGATATAATCCTGCCTTCTGAAATTGGTGTTGAGTATCTCAGGATTTTTTGTGTGCACACAAAAAGTGCATAGCATTCCCTGTGTATTCTTTTTCATTCTCTAACAGAAAGTGTTGAAAATCTATATCAGCTTTACCCCACCTAGGTTAAAATATCTCTTCTGCAGCTCTCAGACCCACAGACATTAGAACACAGAGGTCAGAAAACTATTTAAAAAACCGGTGTCCCATTGACACCGATCCTGCATTTTAAAAAAGGACTCTTTGTCTGCTCTTTTTGATGTATAGGATTTCTTTCATAACAGGGATATTAATTTTTTTATGCTTGTCATTTATCTCTCAAATGTTTTATGTCATATGGCCTTCCATTTTACAATAGTGCATTATTACTACAGAATTATTCAAATCTATAGTCTGTAATTCATCTAGTATTTATTTTGTGTGTGATTTGACTTTGTTGTTTTTAACAAGAACAAAAGAGAAGACATATTTGAGGACTTACCACTGGTCTTCAAAACTTTATGTGATCTCGATGAAGGCTCTGGGAAAGAAATGACAACATCATTGCAAATCAGATCAAGATTTTTCTTTTTATAAATGAATTATTAGTTCAGAGGAAAATACATTTCACTCTAGCAATTCTAAAGTTACCTAAAATATCAGGGCTTAGAGATACTTAGTAGCAAGATAATCATATGCAATCAGGAATTGCATAGCGGAAACCCAGCCTACCAACTAGTACAGCAAGTTTCTTGGTTTTAACAAGAAGCTGACGATGTTGTAATTTTATATTCTTATGCCAATCGCCTGTCCAGGTAGACCTGTGATCCTACCTGCCAATCTGACCTACCTGCCCACAGACCTTGCAAACTCAACATGTTTCAAGCTCAGCTCACTTTACCTACCTCTTCCCAAGCCACGCTGGTTCCTCATCTGTGTTTCTTATCCTGGTTTCACTGACATTACCCTTCCAGCTAAGCAATGATGGCAGCTTAAATTTCTCCTGTTTCATTCATTACCGCTGTGCAGGTTCCCAATAATTCTGAACCTAAATCCGGTCTCCACCATCTCTCACCCTAAAGACTGGCACAGTCTCCTTCGCGGTCTCTCTACCTATGCTGTTTTCCACATTGAACTAGAATTCTTTTTTTTTTTTTTTAAAGATCTATTTATTTATGCATACAGAA